CCGTACGTGTTCTGCGAGTTCATCTGACACATGCTCGTCCGGTCGACATATCGAGGCCAATCGTTGCATACATGGTATTTCTACAATAAGGACGTCGGACAAACTTGTTACTACAGTATACTTTGTGCCTTTACTCAAATTTTCATTTCTAATTGCCAGAATACCAACATCTCCTGTAACCAGTCCAGCAACATCTCCCTCAACCAGTCCAGTAACGTCTCCCGTGACTAGTCCAGTTACATCTCCAGCTACTTCACCATCAACTCTGGGTATAAACATTTTTAGAAATTGGTAACATCATAAATTTCTTAATTTGAAGGGATTGAGTATTAAGCATTCGCTTAAAGATGATGAAACTGGTGGAGTGCTTACTTTCTCGCTACTTTCAATCGCAATCAAATAATCAAAGTATGCAAAGCAGTCTACTTTGATGTCCCCGGGTTAGAAGATTGAAGAACACCTCAATTTTTAACTTAAACACAGTGGCGTGTTTAGGTGATGTGCCATGCCCCCTTCCCATAAGAAAGGTCTTATTTTGAAGTATAAATTTAGCACTCTAAATTCATCGCGGGCCATCCGAAATTCGTTGCCGTTGGGGCCTCTGGCAGCCTCATCGGAGAGACACCTCTTATTTTTGCTTCACCCTGTCCTCGGGCATTTTCTAGATTAGCCTCTGCTCACCACACCAATATTTAAAAGATGTACAACTAATGCGTCACATTGTTCTCCATTCAGAGTGTATTAACAGTTGTTCTGTGGACACGGCATTGGGAATATATGCTATCTGTGGTAGTTGTGTCGATTATGTTACGTGTATTGGTGCAACAGCAATTCCACAAACTTGTACTGGTGGATTGATATTTGATACTGTTGGTGGCTCTTGTAATACCGTTGAAAGAGGTGTTTGTGGAGGGTATGTATAGTACAAGTGTAATCATAACAAAAATTACATTTTTTCCCTTTGATGCTTGTAAGAAATAAATCGCTTAAAATGTGTGTTCGAGGAAAACCACGGTCTATTATCAGCAATTTCTCTGCAAACCATACTTGATTAACTTAACCTAAAAGCCAAAAAGAATCTAAAAGGAAAGCAGGTGGAGCTTAGTTGTGCTACAACTAGTTTATTTTGATGTAATTGCAAAGTTGAATCTGGTTTATTATTTTTGACCTATTTAATTTCCCATTTCTACTTGCCAGAATACCAACATCACCTGTTACCAGTCCAGCAACATCTCCTTCAACCAGTCCTGTAACATCACCCGTAACTTCGCCATCAATTCTGGGTATAATGCTTTAAATTATATGTATTAAATTTTTTTAAATTTTTTTTTAAATTGGCGATCGAATAAGCACAGACAACAAAGCTTCTTACTTTGATGTTGACATCGCTTTGAAAGTGTCAAAGCTTCCAAAACAATTGATGAAAGAACACTTCAATTATTCACTCGCACTAGTTTTCCCGTCCTCGATCGTTTTCCAGATAGGCCCCTGCTCATGCATGCTTGTCTCGCCAAAATTACAAAGCTGTACAATCTATATCTAATCCGTCACATTGTTCTCCATTCAGAGTGTATTAACAGTTGTTCTGTGGGCACGGCATTGGGAATATATGCTATCTGTGGTAGTTGTGTCGATTATGTTACGTGTATTGGTGCAACAGCAATTCCACAAACCTGTACTGGGGGGTTGATATTTGATGCTGTTAGTGGCTCTTGTAATACCGTTGAAAGAGGTGTTTGTGGAGGGTATGTATGATACACGCATAATTCATTGTATGGAATAAGAAAAAAAATCCGTACAAGTAAAAGTATTCCCTTAATCAAAATATCATCCAAATAAGCCCAAAATCGAAAGTTAAAGTTTATAGTAGTGGACTCCGCAAAAGAGAAGTACCATCAGGTGTTTCGAAAAGAGCAGGAGTGGTCTGCTTCACGCGCTATAGTGGTTTATTATCTTTGATCTATTAAGGGTAACGATGGTAACGGTAGGAACTTAAACCTTAATCCACGTCGATTGACGGTGCAAAAAGACAGAATAACGATGCAATCTGACATATACAGGTCCGACGGACATAGAGAAACATTGTTGCATTCATCGTACGGCGATATAATTTCTACAGTATATTCGTTGTTTTTGATTAATTGTTTTTTAATTTGTCAGGATACCAACGTCGCCTGTTACAAGTCCAGTAACATCTCCACCAAATCCCGGTATGACTTTTTTCAGACTAAGCACATATTTTAAATATTTATTAGTTTTGCTGTCCACTTTATCTGTGGAAGTGACGATGGTTGAACTTTTAAATAATGATCAATACATCAATTGAAGAGCGATAGAGAATTGTCAGAACAGATCCCGAAACATGTTGTTCGTCAGAGTGTGACGCCTTGCGATCTGCAGACAACTGCAGTGGTCCAAGTCGATGTCTGAATATCGGACATCAACATGTTTCGAGTTCTGTCTAGATATCCGAAGGTCGCACAACTTGAAACTCTGAGGAAGAGTTTGTTTCAGGTTCTGTTTTAGTTGTCGCACATCGTGAAACAATTAACATTTTTATGTCTATTTTATCGGTTGTATATTTTTCTATTCAGCTTGTATCAGCAGTTGTACGGATACATCAGCCACAGGAATCTTTGCTATTTGTGGAAGTTGTGTTGATTATATTATATGTGCTAATGGATTATCACTGCCACAAACTTGTACTGGGGAATTGATATTTGATTCTGTAACTGGTACTTGTACAACTGTTGAAGGTGGTGTTTGTGGAGGGTATGCATCGTTTACATAAACCTTACTGTATGGAATAAGATTCAGAGACCTTATTCCTGACTTCCAATGCTTTTAGTGTTCCAGTCATCTGATTGGTTAATCACTAAAATTGATTTAAAATTTAGTTTGGTTGTCCAATAATTTTTTTTTAAATCTGAATTTTATTGAGGTTTCGGAGAATAAGGTTTGGTTGTTATCTTGTTCTAAGTGGAAGTTTTCACAATGAGAATTCATACTTTTATCTTCATCTGCATGACAACTGCCATTGTGTAACACTGTGTTTGCTGAATATATGGCTTAGTGCTAGAGGGACTGGCATGTGAATTGAAAATAGACCAATGTTTCCTGCCATTATTCTTGTCATCGGCTTCTCCCTCAATAAATTTATTGATGGAACAAGGAATTTGATACTAAGGTATACAAGGTGTATTTGCTTTTCAGAATAACTACGTCACCAGTTACGAGTCCAGTAACTGCTCCTGTAACCAGTCCAGTAACGTCTCCGGTTACAAGTCCAGTAACATCTCCTGTTACCAGTCCAATGACATCTCCTGTTACAAGCCCAATAACTAGTCCAGTAACATCTCCCTCTACCAGTCCAGTAACGTCTCCGGTTACAAGTCCAGTAACCTCTCCCTCTACCAGCCCAGTAACATCACCCGTTACCAGTCCAATAACTTCTCCGGTAACCAGTCCAGTAACATCTCCCTCTACCAGCCCAGTAACATCTCCAATAACTAGTCCAGTAACATCTCCGGTTACCAGTCCAGTAACATCACCCGTTACCAGTCCAATAACATCTCCGGTAACCAGTCCAGCAACTTCTCCTCTTACCAGTCCAGCTACAAGTCCAACAACATCACCTAATCCCGGTAAAACTATTGTTTAGATTATACTTATGTATTCATCTAACTATTTACTTTAGCGGTTGGTAGAACTCATGATTTCTGTAATAACTGCACACCACTGTAATAATATTATATAGCTCAAATTGAGATCATTTGAGCCAGTTGAGACAAATCCCATGATACTACATCAATTACAAAATACGTCCAAAGTTTGATGATCACAGTGTTTCTACAGCTATTGATGATGGAATTGAGATAATAATACGGTTAATTCCTATTTTTTAAAAGGGAGAACATGTCATACAACAATACCTTCGATAGCGAGAGGGAGACATGCTCTTACAGATCAGAGACACAAATACGAACCGAAACTTTCGAGACAAGCCATACTGTTGTAATGCCGACAATCAGTACACCGAATATATTGCACGGACTTGCGTACCACATGACGATCACGTAGTCTTTACTAACCAGACACTTTTTACCCGATTCGAGTGTCAGATTCTGAGGAACATCATGTTTCAGGTTCTATTTTATATATTTTTTTCTATTCAGTTTGTATCAGCAGTTGTACGGAAACATCAGCCACAGGAATCTTTGCTATTTGTGGAAGTTGTGTAGATTATATTATATGTGCTAATGGATTATCATTACCACAAACTTGTACTGGAGAATTGATATTTGATTCTGTAACTGCTACGTGTACAACTGTTGAAGGTGGTGTTTGTGGAGGGTACGTATGGTATATATTTCCACCAGGCAAAATCCTGTTTAAATTACCACTGACGAAAATCTTGGCCAAGGCTACACATGTATTGTTATCTTGATTTAAGATATTTTCCACATACGAACACAGCCGCACTAGCTCAAAAAAGTTATCCCCAAAATTCTTATTAACTTCGTATCTCACTTGTCTCATGTCATTTCAGATGACGTTTATTTTTGTACATTATTTTTTATTGTCTCCACAGAATAGAAATATCTAGATCTACTAGTCCTGTGACCTCACCAGTGACGTCACCAAGGACTTCACCAATAACTTCGCCTGTAACATCACTAGCTACGTCACATTTTCTTTTGTTCGGTGAGAGACCATTTCTTTGAGAAACCATTGTTGAAATGCAACGATATATAGGCCAGAGCATTTCAAAATGGAATGTTATATTACATATTGACATACTAAAAAAGAAATATTTGGCTTGAATTGTATTTGCAATAGTGACGTCAAAATCGTGTCCAATATTTCTGAAATATCGGGAAACACAGCAGAAGCAGTGCTAATGGAAGCTGTATGAAAACCACTTTTCATGACTCTGTAAGACGTTCCCTATCCATAAAGTGTATGTAAATTTTATCTAAATTTAACTTAAAATTGTTTTTTTCAGCTCCTGCAGAATGTACTGAAGACTGCGTTGGTGTCTCTGCAGCCGGACTTTTTCCCAAATGTCAGGATTGTTCGCGTTGGTTTATTTGCGCCCAGAACGTTGCTAGTGAGCAGATATGTGCCCCTGGATTATATTTTGACATAACTTCGCAAACATGTGCTTTGGCAACACAGACAACTTGTGGGTAAGTAGATAGTCAAATTTCAAAGGAAGGAGTTGGACTAGAAATTTAGGTCAGCTAGCTTGTTGGATCATTTTTCATATTTCCGTGCTTGGAATGCAGCATCGTAAAGGAATAGATGAATCTGAACTGAACGAAAAACGGTTTTCCACAATACTTGTTCCTAAGCACACTTCTTCAACAAACGATCCGAGCTTGTGTTCACAGGAAAGAAAAAGTACACGCCAAATATTTTAGTAAGAACGCATTCTGAATAGGTCAGTTGTATGTGCATTGTTTCAATTTTTGTTATAATATTTTCACATCTCTCTTCAATTGATGTATTGAGTACTATTTTAACAGTGGTATTTCTATATCTCTCTACAATTGATGTATTGAGCACTATTTTAACAGTGGTATTTCTATATCACTCTACAATTGATGTATTGAGCACTTTTTTAACAGTGGTATTTCTATATCACTCTACAATTGATGTATTGAGCACTTTTTTAACAGTGGTATTTCTATATCACTCTACAATTGATGTATTGAACACTATTTTAACAGTGGTATATCTATATCACTCTACAATTGATGTATTGAGCACTATTTTAACAGTGGTATATCTATATCACTCTACAATTGATGTTTTGAGCAATATTTATTTTCGTTAATATAGAGATATATTCTTTAGTTAAATCAGTCATTATTTTCCATTTTAGTGCATTTTAAAATACTTGAAACACCAACAACCGACTACCAGCCGTTTATGATATATGTTAAATAAATTAAATTAATTTCATTTTCTTACTTTTTCTTACACGATGGAATAAAAATATCCTCTGATATTAAATACTTCCAGGCATGTCTATAAAGGCCTTATAGATATACAATTCCCCCTACGTTAAATTACTTCAACAAATGCAATTCGATCAATTTAAAGACCATTCCATTGTGACCGCCGTGATCGACTTTTCAAGTCCAACTGTCAAAGCAAAACTGAGGTGTACAGATCGAGTCATCAAGTCCACCTGTCAAAGCAAAATTGACGTGTACAGATCCAATCATGAAGTCCATCTGCCAAAGCAAATCTCACATGATCGAGTCATCAAGTCAAAGCATCGTATGTACAAGACCATCGTGACTTCATTATTGCAGTTATATCACAGTTAACCATGTGGCTCTGAAATACATGACATTTCATTGCTTCAGTGTTGATAACAATACAACACTGCATGTTACTGTCTGTAATTGTTTATTAAATGGGCATCAGATCCTAGTCTAATAAGTAGTACTGATAGCTGAAAATCAAATCAAGTTTTGACCTCAGCATAGGTTAAGATGATATTTTTACAGTCGGTTTCCTGTCAATTATTCACATCAAGTTGGAATGGTTTGATAGAAGCATTTGTGATCTCTTCTCGAAACATTGACATATGTAGCGCCACTTAACATTTTTTGTCTCTCTTATCATAAACACGGTTCATAAGACCAACTGCAGACCATCGTCAATCAAAATCCAACGGGTGAATGGAATTATACCCCCACTGGACATATTTTGCTTAATATTTTATCGCATTGTTTTGGCCATAAAAGATCAAGTAACGCAATTTGTGACGCCAACAGCGTAAGGGTTGTTGGTTTTAATGGGTTTTGTGATAGGCACATTCATAATGTGGTAAATTTGTTGCGTAAAACGGATACCATAGATATCTGGAGGTTTATCTCTGATTCACATAAAATAACAAGATAAAATCAATGTAATCTCTAAAACCATAAGCAAATATGTTTTTACATAAACGAAAAAATAGAGATAATACAATTATATTTACGTTTTTTCCCTGAAGTCATATATTTCTTAATTTAAAAAGTTCCCAAAATTGAAAGATAACGTAAATGCTTTAAGCCAAAAGAGTCGATAATTATCTTTCACGAAATGCCCAAAGGTTACTACAAATTCTTCTTATTGTAGTGTAATTTTAGATTGATTTCTAAACGGATTGACTATTAGTACCTAATTAACAATTGAGTAAGTTTTTCTTTTTGCATTTTTGAGAATTTTGCTATCATTATTCCGAATTTAAAGTCAATGCTTTACTGTTGCCGACCCAGATTTTTGATTTAACATATTACCTTTAAATAAGAAATTGATGAGGTTTTCGCCTTTCTGATAATGAGCTGATAAACAAGATTATCCCATTTTGTAACATTCTGCCACATGATCTTGAGTTTTGTGTATTTGAACACTACTTACCTAAGTACTGTAGGGGGTGTAGCTCTGGAATTCAGGTATCACTCTGACAGTAGAGAGAGGGGGGAGTAAAAAATTTCTTTGGTTAAATGTATTGCGTTCGATGCTTAATGATAGATAGATAGATTAATATATTTCTAGATATGAAGCTGATAATTCTGGTAGCGTTGGTTGTGACCATACAGGCCGTGTCCGGTAGGCCAGTCGGTAGGTATCTCGTTTGTCATCATGTTCTTTTGGATTTCGAAATAATCGCATTGGACGATATTTAATTCCTTTGTGCGTGGAAATTTTGTGTCAATTATAAAATACATACAAGGTTATCCAAATTGAAAGTTTTAGATTATCGGTTGATATTGGAAACCACGACCTAGTGCATGCGTCTCTTGAGGCCTAGAAATCGAAAGAACCATATTGTTTCCATGGTAGTGATGCAGGCCAAAGGGGACTAGAGTGGATTAATATGGAATTACAAAATTCCAACCCGAGAATGTGTAAGGTAATATTTACGTTGACGATTGGCAAGTTTCATTTTCTGTTTCTTTTTAATTTAAAAGGAAACAGGTGTAAAGATGTTTGTGATGGTACAGAGGGTACCTTTGTAAAATGTGGTAACTGTACACAATATCTGCAATGTAATGAGGCCGTCAAGAAGCTGCTTCAATGCCATAAAGACCTGGGTTTCGATACGAATGCATTGGGTTGTAAAATGATTCCTCACTCAGTATGTCAGTAAGTTCTTTACAGTATCTCTGGTCAGTATAATACATGATGTGAGAAACATTAGGTGAGGAGGCCGAGAAGGGGTCACAGAATTTTCCAGGGGGACGCACCGGCAATTCTTTCAGTATGTATAATGGTAAATATTTTTCACCCTCTCTTCTGTCACTTCCCCCTTTCGTAGAAACGCTACTGGTAATAGTGGTTATTGTAACTGTACTCCCCACAAAATTAGTCATTCAGCCATTGCTTTACTTGTTACTCCCATTAATTATTCGCCGTTCTCCGAAATGACCCTGATTTAATTCTTGTAAGATCTTGATGGTCTACAAGTAAATGTGTATAAGTGTATTCCGATCGATAACACACTTTAATATATTAATAACCCTTCAAAAGTGGCAACCGTCTGGCGTCTAGACATGTTATGTCTTGTTCTGTACTGTTGAATTTTAGGTGAAATAGTTATTACGGGAGACAACTCGTATAATTCTAACGCATACACCAGCCACTATGTTCTTATCGTCAATACTAACCTTTCTATCTTATGTTGTTAGTGAAAAGGTGGATACAGTCGTTTGAATATATATTATTATATTATTACACCTTTTCTTTTGTTTTACCGATATAACAAAATACTAAATTTTAATGAAATAATTTTAACCAGAATATTGTAAACATCACCTTTTTCATATCAGACTGGGAAGAACATTTGGGTATCGTGCAAAAATAAAGCAAACGAAGTCCCCCTGAAAAGCAAATTTTCGAGTGAACGCATGTGACCATTTTTAACAACGCAAAGCAAAGACAATTTCTTGTGTGGGAACGTTACATGGGAGGCTTCAATTTTGAATTCCAACCTCGACAATTGTCTCCCATTGAGTCAAACTGTCCCTTATTTGTACCCCAATCTCGGGGAAATGCAGAGCCATCAAAGTATTAGCTTGAAGCTGATATTCCCTTCACATAAATGATAAAATGAAAAATGAAAAAAGACCCTAGTAACTGTCCTGACATTTTCCTTGATATCTTCCTACATTTCAGATAAAATACCCAGGATTGCTGCCAAGAAAATTTAACACCCAGAAACTCAACCCTGTCCATATGATTATCATTGGTTTGATTATAGCATGAAATAAATATTACTAATTAAATTTGGTTTTTGTCTTCCCATATATCATTTGAAAGACTTGCGAGGCAAGATATTATATATGCTAGGCATCCAAGCTTTTTCCCCATTCTTGATAAAGAAATTACTAACAATCCGAACCGCAAAACAGGACCCGAATTCAAATACAACATATTAGTAACAGCTAATAAAATCGTTAGATGAGTCAATACTGCATGATACTTTCCATTTCCTGTATTCTTTACTAAGATCACAGACAGATCTAATTTTTATAGTTCAAGGGAGGTAACTGATGACAATATTATTGATAGCATGCAGTTCATGGACTCACTCCACTAAAACATTTTATGCAAATGATTGTATAGGAATGTAGTCCAGGCTATTTTTAGAAATCTTCTTTCTCTCTCCCTTTTGGGGTTTTTGCCTGCCTATTTTTGGGTAAAATTTGGTCTAGATTTGGAATTTGATGTCTGAAATTGCATTATCTTTCAGATTTGGTGAGATGATGAGAGACTTAAAGGCGGAAGGCTAATTCTAAAAATAGTCGTTTTGTGAAGTGCCAAACTCTAGCGGATGAGTATAACCGGTAGTAGTCTACTTTCAATTTTAGTAGCTCAAAATTTTCATGGTCATCATATAATGAATTTTTTAGGAGACATTGAGAATTGGTCAGGCTTTCATTCGACATATTGGAAAGCTTTCAACGAGATTTCTGGAAAAAGTTATAGAAGGTTGAATTTCGTGTTTTAACATGGGAAGAGATGGCAAATGAATTAGTGGAGTGAGTCCTCATGATAATTATTCAAGGGAAGCAACTGATTACAAAACCCGGTAAGACTCTCGGAAGTTTTCTGTATCAGCGAATAATAATGAGTATAAGCGTAAAATAAATCTGCCTGGTTCCACGGCCCGTATTTCTGCTCTAAATTAC